ATATAATATAAAAATATATTAAAAATAAAAATAAAATATATAAGATTATAATAATAAATAAAAATAAAATATATGACATTAAAAATATATTTAAGATATGATATTATACAAAAATTAATAATAAAAAATATAAATATATTAAAAAATATATAAAAGATTATAATAATAAATAAAAATAAAATATATGACATTAAAAATATATTTAAGAGATGATATTATATAAAAATTAATAATAAAAAATATAAATATATTAAATTTATATTTTAATAATTAAAGATAATTTTAAAAATTAACATTACATTCTCAATAAAATACTTGAAAATCAAACACTGCAATGTTATCTTTCTTGCATTTTAATCATTATTTTACTTGTATATCAGACACTGTAATGTTACTTGCAATCACATTACTTGCAATCACATTACCTATAATCACATTGCATTGTAAAGTACCAAACACAGCCTAAATCTTATATACCTATTTATTTATGAAAAAAATATAATACTTTAAAAAAATCTTAAATTATTTAAAAAAATTAAATTTTTTATTATATTTAAATAAAATTTTTATATTTTAATTTAAATCAAATAATTAATGATTAATTAATTATCATTAATTAAAATATAAGTTATTATTTTAATATATATATGTGATACTAAAATACAAGGTGAAAAATATTATGTTGTTAGGTCATTGTGTCAGTTCAATATACATCATAGCACGCCAAGATTACATAATATAAAATATATATGAAATTTTGATTAAGATTGAATATATTAAGAATTTTTTCATGTATTTTGAAAAAGAAACAAAAAAAACACTTTTAAAATTGGAATTGGTGTCTTAGAATTTTCTTGAGCTGGCAAGAGAAATTGGAAACGTCATATTCTATTTCGGCAAAGCATAATTCCGAGAAATGATGGACCCAATTCTTGGCCAATCCGACGCAAAAGTATGCAAACGCGGCCAAATGAAAACAAAGAAAAAACCAATGGAACCCGTACTGCTCGTTCTAGAGACAAGCCGACTTCTAGAAAATATTGCATTCTGACCCCGGGGGTCATTGATGGTGGGCCCGCAACTCAACGGAATCAACGGTCACTAACCGCGTGGACCCTACTTCATTCATTGCCCGCCATTGGCTTCCCACGTTATCCTGGTATTCAGTTGGATTCCCTTAATTACCCCTTGATCCTCGAATGAACTGCTGAAAAGCCATGGAGTGCGGGCTGACGGCAGCAATGTTATTCCCATTATTTTCTTGAAGGGCACATATTCCTACAAGTATAAAAGCTTGGTAGTAGGGGAAAGAATCCCACGTGGCGCACATGCAAAGAGAATCTATGATTGATCTCCTATCATAAATAAAAATTTTCATGCGTTCCGTTAGCCCATTATGTCGCAACAAAGTTTGAGAAAATTGTAAAAAATAACACTTCTCATAAATTTAATTCAAAATATCTTTTATTATGATTTTAATTATTTTTAGTTAATTTTTGACATAATTTAATAGTAATATCTTTTAAACAATTTCAAGTAAATTAAAATATTTTCAATTTTCTGTATCCCAAATAAAAATTTTAAAATTAAATCTTATTTCTCTTTTATCAAATACTGTCTATCTTGCCATATAACTCTTTTTTACCATCTCAAATAGTAGAGATAATATCAATATATGTGTTTTAGATTTTGGATTTATTGGTTTATTCATAGAACCCAAAGTTGAGAGATCAAAATTGATTAGACATATCTATAAATTAAAACACTGTATAACGTTGACAACTTAAACCTAGTTACGAGTAGGTAAATCAATTAGTTATTAAAAATTACATTACTAGTTTTTAGACATTGTGTCAATAAATTTTAGATATTACGAAATTAATTTTTAGATATTGCGACTCTAGTTTTTTGGTATTGTTTAATTGATTTTAAACATTGTGTGACTGATTTTTAGATAATATCAAAGTCACGCAATACTTTACTAACTAGTTATGTAATGCTTTTATCAACCAGTCAAGTAATGCTTATCATCTAGTCATGTACTACCTAAAAATCAATCACACACTGCTTAAAAGTTAATAATACAATACTTAAAAATCGATTATGCAATACCTAAAAACCACCAAAACTATTTAATTATATTTAACAAAATCAATAATTTCAAATAATACACCATATTCCATTTAACAACGTAATAAATTAATATACTTACTTGGTGAAGAATACTCAAAAGTTTTTCTTCATTTATCAAAAATCATTTTAAAATGCTTAAAAATACTCAAAACACTCAAAAGTTTTTCTTTGTGTATAAAAAATCACTTCAAAATATTCAAAATGCTTAAAGGTGTTTTTTTTTTAAGAAATACTCTAAAGATGAATGATTTGGCGTTAAAAATTAAAAAGATATGAATCGATTGGAGACACGGACCTAAACATATGAGTCAGTTTCATTAAAGGTAATTTTGTTTAAAATTAATTTTTTTTAATTAAAAATAATTTAAATTATATAGAGAACTATTTTCAAACACACTTTATATATGAGTGGTATTTTTAAGAAAAACTAAAAAATTTGTTATTTTCGTAGCACTTAACTTCAAACTCAAAATATGATATATTTTATCTTAACTTTTAACCACGTTAATCTTCTATATACAAATTTTATAAAACATAATGTATCGACCTCCATATTATAAGATATTGAAAAGAGTTATTTCATTTTAAATCGTGTTCTCAAAAAAGAAATTGCAATGGTGTTTGGACATGGGTGCCCAACTGCCCATACATAAATATGATGCATGAATTCAATGAAGTTGGGAATGAAAGATGGCAGTCTATATAAAATGCCATTCTTTGGAAATTCATCTGTAAATGCAACAAAGTGGCACACGAATTGGTTTGGACTAAATAAGCAAAAAAGCGTTAATGGAGAGTTATTATTGCAACCAGGAAGGGTGTAAGCTTTTCAACTACATCTCAACTGTCTCATTGACGACGTCTACTTATCATCTACCATGTCGTACTAAATTCAAAGCTGAAAAGTTGTAGAGGCCATCATATGGCTAGCTTCTTCACTAAACAAATCTAATCTAAGCTTCATTCATCATGTTTGCATTGTGTCCATTGCCTGTCCAGGAATCTCTCTCTATATATATATTCACCTAATCCATATTTTTTAAAACAGGTTAATATATTTGGTACTTGAGTTATTCTTAAATTATCAATTTGATATTTAAAATTATAACATTTTCAATTACGTTTTTCAAACTTGTTATATTAAATTGTGTATGAAATTAACATCAATATTAACCAAATCAAAGAATGTGTTAAAAAATAATCGATAAAAATTTGTCATTTGTCTATAAAATCAATTAATTATCCGAATACTCTAAGGAAGAGAATCAATAGTACGTAAATGAACATAAAAGGATCAATCAACAAACCAAAGCCAAAAATTTACAAGGAAAATGTTAAAAAAGTACTTACAAGCACTTGTTAAGCTGTATTTATATTATATTCCAAAATTTGGTAAAAATAAAGTATTAAATGAAAAATTTTTCTTACAATTTAAAAATTTAACTAACCTTAACAACTGCCTTATTTACAAAGTATTGGTATTCTATAAAATTCATGATCAGACTCTTTTGATAAAATATCAGTGCCCTGCTTACTTTTTTTTTTGGATACTGAGTGCACTTCGTATACTTTTTAAGTTTACTTAACATACTATTTATAATAATATTTTTAAATTAAATGTAATAATTGACAGCCAAGTAATGATTCTCAATGCATTTGAAAAAAAAAAATATGATTCAATATAGTATGTAAACTTAAAGATTATCTTCAGACACTCGCAAACAAAATCCTTTTAGTTTTAATAAAATTTATAATATATTTAAGATTTATTTAAATTACTTTTAAATAGAGTTTTCAATTTAATTGAATCATTACTTTTTAGTTTTTTTGATAGTGTTGGGATTTGTCAGAATCACTTTCAGATACGGTTATGATATAAACAAATCAAGAACTTTTATTGTGTGTGTGTGTGTCTTGTCAATCCTAATTTATCAGATAAAACATTGCTTATTACTTAATTTACAATACTTGACATGTAATTTAATTCACGCGAAAATCGTAGGTATAACAAATTCTAGTACAATTAAATTAACAAGAATAAATTTTCAACTCATCATTGTCATTATTAAGGATGACATTGGGTACTTTAAAATCAGGTCTTTTAGACTATTAGCCTCACTTAAGTTAAATTAGAGTATCCTACAATTGAGTTTAGGTAGAATTTGGATAGCAAAACTATTACCTACCATACGCTTTGAGAAGGTTTCGAGTAATGGTTATGTTTGAGTAGTAGTTATAAGACATTTATTATAGGAATTTGCATATAAATAATAATTTTTAATATTAAATTTTAGTTTTATAAATTACTTATAATTAATGTGATATTTAAAATTCATTAACTATTCTAAATATGATTTTGATTTTGATTAGTTAATTTTATTTTATTAATTTAATCTTTATCAAATTGGGTTTTATAATAGATACTCATGTTATATATAATTTAACGCATCAAGTTCGAATTTTTTACGATTATTAATAATTAGTTTGGACTGCTTTTCAGTAAAAAATAATTAGTTTCGGGGATTAAGCAGTAAGTGTGGGTTTAATAGGTGTGACATCACTGTCATTTCTAGTCAATGCATGTATCCATTTAGTAATACGTTTCACAAAAGCTACATGTTACGTGTTACTAAAGTTTTTTTTAAAAAATAATTTCCATTGTTTTAGATCAAGAAATTAGGTTTTCTGGTAATAATAAAAATAAGAAAATTACACTAGTTTGGTTAAACTGACACTAGAGTTCATTTTTGCGCAAGTAAGAGTAAGGACAGAACGCAAAGAAAGCCTTCAGTTACAATACTGCCAACGTGGGCAGTTGAGTAATTTAAGAGCCCCGAAAGGGCATTTATTTCATAGTCCATTCCACAACCAACTCCAAGCAGAAGAAAAAAGAAAAACAATGAAAATCCTCCAAACGCTTTTTCAAAAAACACACACCGAGAAACCAACCGCCTCCTTGTCCCCTGCCTCCTCCCTTCTTCAATCTGCTTCTCTCTATATATAAAAAACATACCTTTACTTACTCAGATACTTTGCTTTTTTAATAATCAGAATAGATATTAAAAGAAACAACGAAATATGGACTCGCCGACCTCGGCAGGGGATTCATCGACGGCACGGATCGTGGCTCGTTCCTCGATGATGGAATCAATAAGAGCTTGCGGCTTGTCGGGTTTAGCCGGTGTTAGGATCGATAAGGAAGACCTCAGACGACGGCTTTTGATGCCAGAGTATCTACGCCTTGCGATGTTAGATTCCATTAGGAAAAAAGAAGTCGACGGCGGGGACCAGCATTTCCGTCTACATGGCTCCGACGATGTTCCCTGTCCTGAATCCCCTATGGTCGTTTTCATTAACCCCCGTAGCGGCGGCCGTTATGGCCCCGTCCTTAAAGAGCGTCTCCAGCAACTAATCAGCGAAGAACAGGTAACACTTTTTAATTTTTCTTTCGGTTTGGGAATTTCCTAATACTATGTATTTTTTTTATGAAGAATTGGTAATTTTGTAAATGTAGGTGTTTGACCTCCACGATGTGAAACCGCATGAATTTGTACGGTATGGACTTGCTTGCCTTGAGAAGTGGGCTAACAACGGTGACCTTTGTGCCAAAGAGACACGTCAGAACATCAGAGTTGTGGTATGTTTTCGCTAACTTTTAAACTTGTCTTTCTACGCTGTTTTTTTTTTTTGGAATGTTCTAATTGGGATTTTACTGCTTAAGTTTAGTTACAGTTCAGTTGTTATTTTTTTTGTTACTTGCTTTTTTAACTTCTGAAAGAGTTAAAAAGTGATTTTTTTTATTTAAAAGTAAATTATGTTTTTTTGACCAATTAGGATCAAAATGTACTAACTGTTTATGATGAATAAAGTACATGATTTTATTTTTATACTGAATGCTTGTGTTGAAACTCATTAGTTTGCTTTAAATCAACTATGATTTTGTTTTTGTATCAATTTTCTAGAAAATAAAAAGCTATAGCAAAAGTAACTAACAAACAGAACTTTCCAAGCTGATGTTGTAAGACTCTCTCTGTATGAGTGGGCAGGTTGCTGGAGGTGACGGTACAGTGGGTTGGGTACTTGGTTGTCTTGGAGAACTTCATCAAAAAGGCCGGGAGCCAGTTCCTCCTGTATCTGTCATTCCTCTTGGTACAGGCAATGACTTGTCTAGAAGTTTCGGTTGGGTAAGATACGCCTTTAAATCTTATATTTTCATGTTGTCTACTGTTTTCGTCTCTTGCTTTGTTGATTCATGCTCTAAATGTTCACTGCAGGGAGGTTCATTTCCTTTTGCCTGGAAATCGGCTATAAAAAGAACTTTGCACAGAGCTACTACGGGTCCAATTTTCCGTCTAGATAGGTGAGTATACACTTATTAAATGACAATTGGTACTATGTTTTGCTTCAGTGGCACACTGATAGCTTTTAGGTGATTGCTTATATATACCTATGAGTTTGATGATCCACCATGTGGTCAATAATCACTAGTATTCCCAACGGTTCTCCATCACTTTTGATGACTCAGTGTATGTTTTAGTTTCTTACAATTGAAAATGGGTTTGGGCAAGATCTCATTGTTATATAAACCCTACTTTGTGGCTTAGGATAACATATTGTGGTTTGTCAATATAACTGGCACGACATCTGTAATTTGGTTCTTTGAAGATGCAGTTGGCATGTTGTGTTGCAAATGCCCGGTGGAGAAGTAGTTGATCCTCCCCATTCTTTGAAGGCCACAGAAGAGTGTTCTCTTGATCAGGTAGTGAATCTCTCTGCTTTAAATTCTCTGTTTTTATCAATCAACTTCTCTTGCATGGCTATGTTTTGATGTGGGAACATTAATGCTTAATTGAGTTCTATGAAGGTTAATAAAGTTTTAAATGCTCTAGTTTAGAACTTTGGTCATTAGGTTACTGAATTGGGTATTATTTGGATTCAAATATGATCTGAGGATATCATGTAATATAATCATGTGTAAAAATGTGTATGTGTCTATATTATGATATTAAAATTATACAAACAAGTTTTTGCAAAGAAAGAGTGGTTTTTAGGTCATAGATCGAAATAAGCTTTAATACAATATATAGCACAACATCAAATGAACTGTTGCAATGTTTATCTAAAACTGCTGCATTCTAAGTATTCAGCATGGCCTACCATCTGGCTACTTAGACAGGATGCAATACTGGGTCTTCTCTGTTTTCTTTTTCTTTTTCTTTTTATTCCTTTTTTGAAACCGAAAATTTATTTCATTGTGATTTATGATCTTATGATGTGGGGTTTCAAATTCAAATGCGAAAAATCTTGTTTGTGACTGCAGACTTTGGAGATTGATGGGGATGTTCCTGACAAAGTGAACTACTATGAAGGAGTATTCTATAATTACTTTAGCATTGGTATGGTATACCTATTTTACTTCTAGATCTTGGTTATTTTAATTCCATGCATGTGGAAATTCACCGGTTGGGAAGCTGTACTATCATCTGACAGCTGAATATCATAATTTCGGCTTGTTGCTGTTTTTCAGTTTAGCTGCGACTATATTAAGACAAATAGAGTAGGGTAGTAAGATTCTAAACCTCAGACGCTAATGGAATCCATGGATGATCAAGATTTTATGTTGATTTTATCTGCTTTAGTCTAGTAAATTTAACTTTTTCGCTCATCCAAATCTTATTATCCCTTACCCTTGCAATTTCATAAAAAATCATGAAAAAAGGGGGAGGAGGGACAGAGGAGGGGTTCATACTCATATGTACTCAGAAAGGCTCAAGACAACTCGTTAAAGGCTATAGTGTTCCTATTCACTGATTTGGATAGTCATTTGCAAGACCCAAAAAAAATTTTGCAAAAGAAAAAACTAATGTAAAATTGGGAGTAATGAAAAGTTTAGAAATCATGTCTTAAACTTTTTGTTATGAATGTGTTTATTATTATTATTATTATTATTATTATTATTGGTTCTTATGAATCTTCTTGTTTTCATTTTGCTTTCAGGAATGGATGCACAAGTTGCTTATGGATTCCATCATTTACGTAATGAAAAACCTTACCTTGCACAAGGTCCTATTACAAATAAGGTATGTTTGTTGGATTTGTTTACTCATTTAACTACAATTTCAAGGATGTTTTGTTTTCAATCTCTTGGCATTCTACTATCAATTGTATATTTTTTAGCTTGAAGTTTATTAATGGTAATACTACTATCTGCCAAACCTATATGGATCATCTACAGATTATAGGTATGTCGAAATTAGTGAATATGCATGCCATGGTCAAAAGAAGGGACAGGAAGTGATTGTCTTCTCTATATAGATTAAAGTTTTTCCTCAATCTATACTTTGTGTGACTAAATATTTTGCCCTTCAGTCTTGATACCTATATTTTAAAGATGTGCAAACTCCAAATTCTTTGACAAGGAATGAGGAGGATGCATGAAAGGCTAGAAGCAAAACCAATTTACAACATAAAACCAGTAAGGTCTTACTTGTTTTCCAGTCTTTCCTTGTGCTTTTCAAGCTAATAGAAGAGTTATGAAGTTCCTGTGTAAATGCTTGTAAATTTGGTTTATGCAGGACCTTTCACTGATTCTCCTGTTATTGCCATTAGGATTTCCACAAAATATATACTAGTCTCGCTAAAGTTAATTTATATTTAATTGCTGTACGTGGCTTAATTTTAAAATTCAAATTATTAGTTTCTCTGCCCCAGTCAATCATCTGATTCTTTGGTGAAATTAATATTAGATTGTAATTGGTCCATATTTTGTGGCAGATTATCTACTCTGGTTACAGCTGCACTCAGGGTTGGTTTCTCACACCTTGCATGAGTGATCCAAGTTTAAGGTTAGATATTATGATAGTTGTTTAGCTTGCATCTTGTCCTATAATGCGAGTATTACTTTTCTAAATAGAAAGTATATGTTTATTTGTATGTTTATTAGCTTGCAGGTGTGTTTATGTAATGCAAGCATTTAGATAAGGTTTGATTGTTCATTAGACAGTGTAGCAAATGCCTTGGCCTTCGTGATGTGGCATGGCACCAGACATAATAATCCTTGCATGCAGCACTCGCTTAGCTAAGGTTTGATTGTTCATTAGACATTGCAGCCAAGGCATTGTCCTTTGTGCTGAGACAATGAGACAAGGTGTAAGACAGAAAAGTGCCTTTACCAAGCATAAGTCTTTGATGCCTCAGCTCGTTATTTTAAAAAGTGAGATGTGTGTAATAGACATGCCTCCATGAAATGTCCCTCTACAATTTTTATTTTTTTTAACTTCTACTTTGAATTGACAATTTATGTATATTTGTACGAAAATAAAAAGGGTGCTATTTTCTATTTTGGTGCTTGTGCCTCAGGCAGTACAAAAGTCCTTGTACCTTGGGGGTGCCTTCTTACTTTGACCACATTGTTTTCATGTCTCAATGTTTCTCAAATTAAGAAAACATCATTGCTATTATAAATACATTTGGTTTGCAAATGCTTGTTGAGTTAAACCAACAAGTTCTTTTTTAAATGTATTTGCTTTAGTTGAGTACCCATGAATCCTACGGGAGAAAGTGTCTGTCTTCCTGTTGATGGTGTTTTGCACTTAATAATAGTTTTTTTAAGGTAATATTTCTTTAAAATGTCTCCTAATGCAGGGGACTCAAGAACATTTTAAGGATGCATGTTAGAAGGGTCAATTGCTCAGAATGGGAGCAGATTCCAATCCCTAAAAGGTACATTTCAATGTATTTAATTTTGCTTTTTGATACAAAAGCATCCTAATCTTTCTAATCATCTTTTTGATAGTCATTGTTATTACTTATCAACTGTTTGCCTTCATGGTTTCTATGTAACCTTTACACTAATGTACAATGAATATCTTCTTTTACATCCATAAATATTTCTTTTTTAGAACATTCTGCAAAACAAGCTATTACTAAACTTACTATGACAGCAGGTATATAGCTAGGTAGAACATTTCTACCCCTGGTATGGTTTATGATTTAATCATCCTCTAATATTATGCTACTTGTTTTTAGTGTGAGGGCCATTGTTGCTTTAAATCTTCACAATTATGGAAGTGGGCGAAATCCATGGGGTAATCTAAAGCCAGAATATTTGGAAAGGGTATGGTACATTTTTTCAGGTTACTTAATATTACTCTTTGTACAATGTTCATAGTACCATCTCTGTTTGTGTGTGTGTTTTGGGTATATTTGAAGTGTTTCGGCTGTTGCATGTTTGATGGTTGGATTTGGATTTCAAAGGTTGAGCAATAAAATGAAATTTAGCTCCATATGGAATTAAATGTTTTTTGCTTGCTTTATTTTGCAATTTTAAACAACTTTAGCTTGGTTTTTTGCAAGATTGGAGCTTCTGAACCTACTTTAGAATTCAAAATTGTTTTGGCCAATGATCATCTTGGAAGATTTTAGTGAACCAGATGGATGCTATGTAGTTTTACACTTTTAAGACATGGTTGTAGCTGCAGATGTCACCCTTTTCGACTAACATGATCCAGGCACTGGGAATGATTTCTATGAGGGGTCAAAATCTGTGAAAACTGGGCAATTTGTGTTATTTTAATCCATCAGTCTTGCTTGGCCAAAAAAATCCATGGCTCTTGAAAAAATTATCTTGATAATTTATCAGCTTTGTTTTATTTGAAAATGCATGATTTTAGATGGTTGTCTTGACATCTATTGTAGAATATAAATTTAAAATTGTGAGAAAGGGTGCATGGCCATTTGATATTGCAAAACAAAAAAAAAATAGTAATAAAAGAGGAGAGTATATCTTAATGAATCTTTACAATGTTCCAGTTTTTATATTGAAGTAACGTAAGTCAATAATGTGAATTCTGAGGGGAATTGAAATGAAATGACCATTTCACTTTTGATGCATTAACATAAATTTATCCCAAGGCCTGTTTAGGTTTGTTTAATTTTCAAATTAAGATGGATCTGGGTTAGACTTAGATGAAAGGTATGTTATTTTAATCATATGTAATTAAAGGTTATGTTACTTTAATCATATGTAATTATAAGAAAATTACATAACTTTTAACTGTTGTCAGCTTAAAATGACAGGTCATAAATAGATATTTCTCTAATGTAAATCATAGTTCCACCAAGGATTCTGATAGATGTTACTGCCGAGGTTTTTAATTAATACTGCATATTTTTCCTTGATTATGCTAACTTAATTGCTTTCAATTGAGTTTAGAGTTGATATTTTTGTGAACTATTAAGCTTATGTAGAGGCTTGATGAATACAAAATCTGAAATGATTGCCTCAATTTTATTGTTCATTTTTCAGAGAGGCTTTGTTGAGGCCCATGCCGATGATGGTCTGCTAGAAATTTTTGGCTTAAAGCAAGGATGGCATGCATCATTTGTAATGGTTGAACTCATCTCGGCAAAACACATTGCGCAGGTAGGATAAACGAGTCAGAGTAGAAGTAGTACAAACTTTAGACTGGACCGAGCGGGCTGATAATAAGAATGCTTACTTGAAAAACTAAAAGTTATGTGCTTGCTAGGTACTGAAAACAAGAGAAAAAAAATTCTTGATAATCACTAAAAGTTGTTGAGAAAAACATGCGAATCTTGAAAATGTGGTATGTTGATGGATTTTGCTGATATTTTTCAGGCTGCATCAATTAGGCTGGAGCTAAGGGGTGGGGAGTGGGAAGACGCATTTATGCAGATGGATGGGGAGCCATGGAAACAGCCGATGAACAAGGAGTATTCAACATTTGTGGAAATTAAGAGGGTGCCTTTCCAGTCACTAATGATTAGCGGAGAGTGAGTTTGGCATCAATGTAAAGAGTGTGCTTGTAAATTATATTTGTTTTCCCCTGTGGGCACTGACAAACGAAGAGCAAAATACCTAGGAATAGGTAGTCTGTTGTATCCAATTCATTAGCCAGCCAGTTCCATATTTATCTTTTCAAGTGCTGTAGCCGTCACTTTTTTTTTCCTTAGTCCTTATGCTTACGAACTTCACCAGGTTTTACTGGCACTTTCCCTGCTGACTCTAATTAATTTGGTAAAACTGTTATCTGGTTATTATAATCTTGAAACTAATCCACCGGGGCAGCCCTACCCTTCATGTGTATTATTATCAAGAGATTCAAGAAAGTTTTAAAAAATCGTTATTTATAACCTTAAAATTTTCTTTTCAGGAGTCTTTTTTCTGAATAATTATTAAATTGATTCAATTAAATTTATTAAACAATTTCATAGATTTAGATATGCACAAAAAAATTAAATAGGCAACAAAAGTGTGAGCTAAGACAGCATACCCCATCTGGATTTAGCCCACATCTGATGGACTTACGTCTGTCTAAGATCGGTTCGACCTCAACTAGAGTCAGGTCGGGTCAAGGTTGGATTGGGCCCGCTCTTTTCTCTCTTTTTGCTGCTTTTCCTACCCCAAAACCACACCGTTTTGGGAGTCTTACAAAACTCTAGCCTTAATCCTAACTACAAACCCCTTTTTTCCCCCCATTTTCCCTCTCTTCTCACTAGACCGAGCTACTGCTCAACACCACTCACTCTACAAATTTCGATTGTAGATGTCAAGCTTTTCTAAGGAATGTGAATGGATAAAGTACCCATTAATTTTGAGATACATAAACTTGAACCTTTTAAGTTATGGGATACATGAACCTTATAACTACTTAGATATTTTTGAAATTTATTATCTTAACCTGAACCTTAATATATATTTATTATTCGATAATTATCCAAATTTGTTTAAAAACTTAGTTATCTTAAAAAATTTTATTTAACTCTTCATGAGTACCTAGTTATCCGAATCCAAACCCGTATCCATATACAATTAAAATATATTTCACAATTCATATCTATATTTCATACAATTCACTAATAAATAAATTTATAAAAACAAGTAAACAATCAAATTACAAGTTTACAACAATTATTGTTTAATTTAAATTTATAAAAGCAAACAAATAATAATTATATTCTAATCTCACAACCTCTCTTTAGCTATATGTATTATAAGTTTATGTAAATAAAGGTATATATATTTATAATTAATAATTTTACAAGTTATAATTATTTTAACGTTAACGTAAAATAAAAAGTAAATATGTTTATATTAAAAGCACATATATAATAATAGGGGCGGAGGCTTCCTTACTTTTTTTTTTTTGGGGGGGGGGGAGATATAAAATTTAAAAATAAAGAATTCACATGTATCCTCAAAATAATTTTTTATTTAATAATTAATACAAATAAAGAATAACAAAATAATTTCACATGTATCAATTTTAAAGTTTTTTTTTTCATTTCTATTATATTTGTTCATATATTTTAAATTTCTACAGATTTTCTTCTCCAAATTTCTACAAACCATCAATTATATTTTTTTTTCTTTTTTGTTATGTCATATGAGAATTTATTTTCTACTTGTCATGTTCTTCTTTTTTCTATTATATGGATTTTATTTTCTACGATTTTAATTTTTAAAATAAATAAATTATTATGTAATGCTTAAATATAAGTTGTAGTGTTGTGCTATTATTTAAACTTTATCAATGTATCATTTCTTTATTATATTGATTATGTAAGAGGAAATTATTTTGGGGGAGGGCAAAATTTTTGAAAAAAATTTATATATATAAAATTAAAAATAAAGAATTCACATGTATTCCCTCAAATAATTTTTTATTAATAATTAATACAAATAAAGAATAACAAAATAATTTCACATGTATCAATTTTAAAGTTTTTTTTTCATTTCTATTATATTTGTTCATATATTTTAAATTTCTACAGATTTTCTTCTCCAAATTTCTACAAACCATCAATTATATTTTTTTCTTTTTTGTTATGTCATATGAGAATTTTATTTTACTTGTCATGTTCTTCTTTTTTCTATTATATGGATTTTATTTTCTACGATTTTATTTTTAAAATAAATAAATTATTATGTAATGCTTAAATATAAGTTGTAGTGTTGTGCTATTATTTAAACTTTTATCAATGTATCATTTCTTTATTTATATTGATTATGTAAGAGGAAATTATTTTGGGGGGAGGGCAAAATTTTTGAAAAAAATTTATATTATATAAAATTTAAAAATAAAGAATTCACATGTATTCCCTCAAAATAATTTTTTATTTAATAATTAATACAAATAAAGAATAACAAAATAATTTCACATGTATCAATTTTAAAGTTTTTTTTTTCATTTCTATTATATTTGTTCATATATTTTAAATTTCTACAGATTTTCTTCTCCAAATTTCTACAAACCATCAATTATATTTTTTTTTTCTTTTTTGTTATGTCATATGAGAATTTTATTTTTACTTGTCATGTTCTTCTTTTTTCTATTATATGGATTTTATTTTCTACGATTTTAATTTTTAAAATAAATAAATTATTATGCAATGCTTAAATATAAGTTGTAGTGTTGTGCTATTATTTAAACTTTTATCAATGTATCATTTCTTTATTTATATTGATTATGTAAGAGGAAATTATTTTGAATATATCTCTTTTATATGTTTTATGTTTTATATTTAGTTAAAAGGAAATTATCTTAAATATATAGTCTTTAAACAACCTTGATTATATAAGAGGAAATTATCAATCCTATATATTGTATTTAACTATTTATGTTTTATATATTATAATTTTATATTTAGTATTATAAGTTTAAATAGAAATAAAATAAGAATATTCAATATTTTTTTTTTATCATGGTATTAGAGCTTCAAGTTCGATAGATTGAAATTTTCTTTTCATATTGTTAGAGTTTTTCTAGAAGCCATTTTAGTTGTTGGTAGTTATTGTTTTACACTTGTTCCACATTGACAACTCTTATCTCATGCATTGATTGCCTATGTATTAATGTCTTCTACCATTGCAGCTTATCTGATTAGGAATGGTAATGGATACCTTATAACAAGATACTCGTGAGTACCCGACCCGGTTATATGGGGCTAGGGTATCTTATAATCGGATTTGGATAGGGTTTTGGTAGTGACTTCACTACTCATATCGAGTTTAGGAAGGGTTCGGGTACCTGATACCCGAACCGTTTTATTTTTTTTAATTTCATGTAATTAAAAATAAATTCATGTTATTAATTAAATTAATTTATAAAACTATAATTATTAATTAACTTGTAATATCTTTTAATACACGTACTTTATATATTATGTTAATTTATAAAAAATATAATTACTATTATGTATATACTTTTAGTATATATACTTTAAATATAAATATATTTACTTTTATTTTGTGTTAATGTTAGAAAAATTATAACTTATAAAATTATTAGTTGTAATATATATCTTTGTGTATATAAACTTATAAAATATATACTTAAAAAGAAATTATGAGATTAGAATAATTTTAGAACCTAGTTATATTTTTAAATTTCATGGACAAACACATATAGTTAATTAAACTAGTAATATTTAAGTTGTTGTTTGAATATTTGTTTTTAGTTATTTAAGTTGATATTTGAGGTATTTGTTTTTGATTATTTAAGTTTAAATTATATTATTTGTATGCTTTTATAAATTTAATTATTAGTGAATTATATGAAATTTGAATGAAAATATTATTGTATATAGATATGGGTATAGATTCGGGTTTGGGGAATTGGGTACCCATGAAGATCATTTTAATAATTTATTTACATAACTGAATTTTTAAATGCGTTCGGGTAATTAGTGAGTAGTGAGTATGTATTAGGGTTTGGGTTAGAGTAGTAAATTTAAAAAATATTCAGGTAATTATAAGGTTTTAGTCTCCCACTTGTTAATTGAATTTGAGTTCAAGTACTTCAAAATTAGCGGGTACCCTACTTGTTGACATCCCTGTATATGACACATCAAGTGTCACGTGTCTTTGTAACATCATTTGTAAGTCAACTATTATGTTCTATCATGTTTTTTATCTACGGAGCGGGTACCCTACTTGTTGACATCCTTGTATATGACACATCAAGTGTCACGTGTCTTTGTAACATCATTTGTAAGTCAACTATTATGTTCTATCATGTTTTTTATCTACGATAAAAGGACAGAGCTAGTAATTTTTTTAAGTGGTGCCATAACTAAAATAATAATAATAAAAAATATAAATATGTTAAAATTCATAAATTATAAGTTTTAATATAAAATTAAAGAAAATGTAAATTCAGTATATTCATGATAGCATCAGTAGAAACACTATCAAATGTATATTTTTCAATATATTTCACCATGCAATCATTCATCAACTCATCACTCATTCGATTGCGTAGCTTGTGCTTTATAAATTTTATTGTTAAAAAAGCTCTTTCAGCTGGTGTTGTTACAACTGGTAAAATCAATACAAGTTTTACTAGCAAATAAACCAAAAGATACACAATATTTCTATTTGTCTCAGCCACTTTCCTTGCAAGATCACCAATTCCATTGACTTCAATAAATTCCTCATCCAAACACGTCTGCAATGTAGTTTTCAAGTTGATTTTCAAGTGCCACTAAATCCGTTGTTGAAAAATAAAAAAGATCCAATTGAGCCATACGAATCAATCTTTCTTTGTTGAAGGCAGAAAATGAATTGCTAGGATGTAAGCATGCAATACACTGAAATAACTCCATGTTCAATTCTATGAAATAATTGTTAAGCTCCTCAAGTTGCAAATCTAAAACTTCATTCATTATATCAAAATTATAATGATGAAAATCTGATACTTCTAGAGCTTTGCTTCTAGATCTTCCTTGAAGTACAAATGTGATATCCATATTTAAAATTATTATTTTATTACGAATTTTAAAGATAGGATTTCACTTTTTAGAGAAGGAGAGTAATTTAGATTTTAACTTTTTTATGTAGTATTTAAATATTAATATATAAATTACTTTTTGATAAATTTATTTTAATTTGGAATCTTTGACCATACTCCCAACAAAATTT